CTCATTGAGGTTTTGATTTGGATTTCCCTGATGCTGAGCGATATTGAGCACTTTTTCATGTGTCTGTTGGCCATTTGGATGTCTTCTTTGGAACATCCGTCATTTTTAATAGCATTTCTATATCTACAGAGGATGTTAGAATCTAATCCAGAGGTTGCTTCCTGACAGCCCACAGATGTGTTTTATTTGACCCACAGGGCTTAACATTTGAAACAGTTACCAACATTTAGATGTGTGTGTATTTCATGTAAATTCCACATATTTGTATTTGTTTGAAAGTCACAGTATCTAGCTCTACTGGAACCATATTCCCAGAGGACAACATCTAAGGGGTAGCTAGGGGGACCTAAGTGGTGACTAGCGCCTGTAAAAGGATATTTGCTTTCAAGTGCTCCACATGTCCCAGCCCTCCCTCCGTCTCTGATCCTGAGACCTTGTGCCGTCCCCACTCATCTGAATACCTTTGTCGCTCCAGAGTAGGGATCTGAATTTTCAACTCCTGGTCTAACACATGAGTCCTGGACACAAGAAACATGCATTCTGTCCCTGTCTCTATGACTTATAGGTTTTAAAAACCTAGAAAAAGTATTCCAAACTTTTACTTTCTCCTTGAAAACTATGGGGCATTGGCATAACACTTAAATGGCAGTATCCAAAATGACTTCAGATTCTGAGGTGACACGAACTATACAGATACGAGGTGTTTGTAAACTGTTTTAGATGGCTTATTTTGATGGCACTAAGATTCATCAACAGTTTTGTTTTGATAGTTTTTAATTGGTCATTACAAATGACAGGTATAGCAATGCTTAGAATATATACGAAGAACATCCCATTAATCGCTCTCAACTCAGTAATTCCATTACAGTTTATAACATTCTAAAGACCAACCTCATGAAACAATTAATTTAGCTAATCATTCTGAATTTCTATCATTAGCCAATACAGGCGGGAGATTCTGTTTAGATGAAATGGCTTCTTAAAGTGGAAAGCTGCAAATCTTCATAGTCTGACGAACGTCGGGGCTTAATAATCCCTAAGGAGATCAGTAAAACCTTACGTCATTAATTGCTACTATTACTACACCAAAATCTTCAGTTGGTAAATTCATCAAATTATCCTAGTATCTCCAGAAGAAAAATCTTTAAAATTTAAATAAAATCAAGGGCTTCTTTGAAAAAAAGCAATTTCATCATCTTTAAGTCAGCAGCTCACCTACTTTTATAACACTCAATAAAAGCCCCATGAGTTACCCAGGGTCAGTCAAAAAGATAAAAATATACAAAGCAGTACAGTTTGGAAATACATACAGTATCAGTTAGGAAGCATAAAATCTTCTCCTGTTCGGAAGCTGAAGAATTGCATGAGGTTCAGATTGAGTCTAAATGGGAGAGACCAGCTGCTGGATATGAAGCTAAGCTTATGAGGACAGCAAATGGTACCGACAACTTTATGCTCTCCCCTAAATTATTTCTCTATATACTTCCTCATATGCAACCATTTGACAAATATATAATACAAAATATTCAGCTCTATGCATCCATTTGTTCCTTGTCTCATTTTTAAGTGAGACAGTGAATCAACTACCTTGGCTTTGGTAATGATTAGATTGAACCATATGCACTTGTCATTTTGTAGATCAAAACAGTTGAATATTGGAACGTCCATAAAATTTAAGTTCTTTGTGAATATATTAAACCAAATAAAAAGGAATAATCATTTTTGGTATTTCTATACTTCCACCATAATGACTTCCAATGCTTTAGTTGAAATATCTACTTTAAAAAAAAATGAAGAACTGTATTTGACAAATGCTGTGTTAATTCCTTCCTTTCCCCTTAATTTGAGGTAACATTTGTCTTTCAGAAGAGCCAGTGCAAGTTACCATAGCAGGCCTACTGCCCAAAAGTTATTATTGATTCTCCACTAATCTGGAGATCTTGCAGTTCATAGTCTTAAAATTGGATAGGACAGAGAATGTGGTCAGATTCCTAGCTAGGGTCTGCTGGGTACCCCATTTGAATAACACTGCCTCGTCATACATGAGAAAATCCAAAATGCTTCATTTACTTACCATTCTGGAGGATTTGCAATTTTACTAATACAACCGTCATATACTGAATTTTAACCATGTGCCAAATATTTAGAATATATCAATTAACTTTTATCTTCATTA